GTGCGAGGGGATGGAACACACACAAAGCTGCGCCTGCCTTCTCGGAGGAGCCTTGGGGATGAGTCCTCCTTCCTCGCCGCTATCGGAACGCCACGGACAGGGAGACGCGCCGCTGCCCTGACGGCACAGGTTTACCAAACCAGACGTTGCCATCAGTTAAAATGGCCAAACCGATTTAGACCACCTGAAAGCTCCGAGGGGGAGCAATCCTGGGAGCCAAGCCAGATCTCTTTAGGTTCCCGGGGTCTGTCTCCACGCTCCAGCCAAGCTCCAAGTGTCCTGGCCACTCAGAGGCATGGCTTCGACCGCAGCCGGCTGCCCCGGGCACGCTCTCACGGGCGGAGCTCCGCGTGCTACCGCTGAGGTGAAGAGGCCGACGGCCTGCCACGGGGCTGACACCGGGCTTCTGCCTGGTACCTCCCTGAACTGCCAAGACCCCCACTGCCGAGGCACAGGGAGGGACTCCTGGACCCGGCGGAAGGTTTGTGTGTGTTCGATCCGGAGTTTCACTGTTAAACTCCACAGAGGGTTTCACCTCTGCGTGACCACGAAGGGAGCTGAAAGTTCCAGGTTTAGCAATACCCCTAATTCCGCCCCCCCCCCCGGGGTCCAACCAGCCACAGGACAAAAAAAAAGTAGGTCCTGCTCCTGTTTCCCCTAGGATAACATTTCCGTGGATTAGGAGCAACGCTGCTACAGAGATGTTCCCCACGGAAGCACCATTGGGAACGTCAGCCTTTCAGTCCCTTCTTTCCATTCCAAATCCTATGGGTAAACCAGAATTAGATAAAAGGAGAAAAGATTTGCTCTTACCCCATTCCACCGCGTCCTCCTCCCCGCCCACCTCTGCTCATGCCTCCGCGATCATATCCCCCTCTGCCCCTGCCCCGGCTATCAGGGCCGCTCATGTTCCGGCTCTCTCCTGGGCCTGAGAAGCCTCCGGATTCCTGCCCGTACACGTTCATGCTGCTCGGATGGTCCTGGCGGAACGAGCCTGAGGAAGGGCGTAACAAACGCGTTAGGGAGCTGCAGGCAAGAGCGGGCCGAAGCTGCCCATCCCCTTTCTAGGCCCTTTTACCCGCCAGAACATCATCAGGACAATCCCTCGCTACGGCGCTCGCCGCGACAGCGCTCCCGGAAGGAGAGACGCGAGCTGCCCCTCGGCAGGACCGAGTCCCGCGTCAGGCCCTGCCAGCCCGGCCCCTGCAGAACCGCCCGTGCCCACGCAGCGTGGCTCACACCACGTGTGTGTGTCCCCCTCGCCTCCAGCCACAACAGTATTCTCTGCTCCGG